TGAGAATAATGCCACCCAAAGATGACGTTGTCTTTTGCAAAACCTTAAAGAAACCACCATGGCTGTAGCATTCTTTTGTAAATCTATCAACAGCTTTTCCAAGCAATTATTATAATTTTATCCAATACACAGAACTAGATAAGGTGAGAACTAAAATGTTGCAGCAAACTCATGATCAAATACTTGGATTTAAAGGCTGTGCCTTATATTTGAGCCACAAGTACTCCAAGTCTCAGACAGACGATGAAGCCAGTGCGGGTTTCATGACGTAGGCCCCATGGTGGCAGGTAATAATAGTAGACAGCATCAACTGTATACTGTCTAGCAGGCACTGTAAAATATACCCAATTCTTAAAACAACTTTCAGCTCAGTATTACTGTCCCCATTTCACAGGTGAGGAAACCGAGGCTCACAAACTGGAAAGGGACATGTCTGAGGTTGAACTAAGTGGCAATGCCAGGATTCCAGCACTAGTTTCTACTCTGCAGCCCAGTTTCTCATTTCATGATCACAGCGCAGTCTGCAGTGACCTTGACGAGTTGTAGAAAAAACTGAGTTACTAATGTTAACCTCAACCTATATTTATACCTGTTGAGACCATTAAGCCAGCAAAAGCACACACTATGCTCTCCGGCTCTGCTGCACTCCAGCCTTGGGTAAGGCTCTTAGTGCTTGCCCATTTATGAAAAATGCAGGAGTTGTAACAACAATGGGCTGGGAATTACAGGGTTTAAAAGGAAGATTCATTTACGTTTTTCAGTTTTTTAGTAGTTTAATCGAGCATTAAGGATTTTTTTTTTAAAGATGGCTCAAGGAGATGGGGGTGGAGAGAAAAAGAAGTCAAAACTGAGACCCTAAGAGATTTAGAGAAATGACTTGGCCCTTTTCCTACAGCAATTGTAACCGGCTGTGCTCAAAAAACCCCAAAGAAACCACTAACGACCAGGTGAGTTGTCAGCTGAACAAAAAGATTCTTAATCTACAAAACAGTGGTCTTTTGGAGGAAAATAGGAGGAAGACAGAATGAAAGAGAAGGTTATGGGGGAGGGAGAAAGTACAAGAGGGATTTGTGCTCATTTCTCTTTTGGGACTTTGAGAAAGAACTCTTGTTTCCAAAGCCAAAGCAATCTTTTCCATGTAAGAAGGGCAAGGAAGCCAAGTTCTGTGTCAGTTTGTAGAATTTATTGTGCTGCAAGAGGGCCTTTTCTCTTCTGCTAAAGAAAAAGAGCCAGTATTAGGACCAATAATAATAATGGCAGCTCACAATTAGTGATTACCAACCAAGGGCCAGGCACTGTGCTGTGATTTACACATATTATCTAATTAAATTCTCACAACCTTGTGAGCAAGTAGAATTAATATACCCATTTTACAAGTGAGAAAGCAGAGGTTTAGAGATGTTAATTAATTTGTCCAAGGCCACGCAGCTGGTAAGGAAGTAGGAGAGCAGAGATTCACATTCAGATCTGTCTCTCTCCTGAGCCTTGCTCACCATAGAAAACCTGGAGGCAAGACAGAAGTCCATGGCCACGCATTCTTGGGGTCCTCAACAACTTTAGGGACTTGATGGAAAAAGAAGCACAACTCAAGAAAGACATCAGGACCATCCCAAATGGTAGATGTGGGTTACCTAATGCCTGACAGAAGACAGCTCATCTTTGGGCAACTCTCAAAATTGGACAGAATTTGACTGGTAGACCAGTACCTTCTAAACCCCGGCCTCTCCTGACCCTCCCTCCCCCAGACAGCCTTGTTAATCCCTGCCACCTCTCAGCTTCTTCACTATGGCTGAATCCCATTCAGAATGGTCCAGATGCTCCAGCGACCAGAAGTGCACCACAGAATCCTATATCTGCCTGAACACTGGTCACGTTTGCCCCAGGGCAGGACAGAAGAAGGCAGCAAAGCAAATTACTGCTTTTCATGCCTGGTACTGTCACTGAAGTTGTCCCGTGAGGGAAAAAACCCATGATGTCACCATGGGACACATTTTGGGGACTCGGATGACGTTTAGAGAGAAACCAGAAAAGTCTCTGATGTTGCTGGAAACCAACAGCCAGAAAGAAAATCAAGGCAAAGCTCACCGGGAAGGAGCCCTAGGACTTTTACCTCCACACTGTGACAGCTGCCCCTCAGTCCCCTGTTCTACTCATCGTGGGATGCAGGGCACAGACTAACTTCCCCTTTGGCCAAAAACCCTCAAAGCAGGCACTTTTGTGAGCTCAAGGCTTCAGGTGAAGATTTCAGGTGAGACTCCAGCTCGAGTTCATCTTCTGTGCTTGAAATTCATAAACTCATCCCTCAGGACCTGTGGGCACCAAGAGCATTCTGGTCCGACAGCTTGCCCACTCAGAAAGCTTCAAGGATAGGAAAAGGAAAACAACTAGCTCTGGCCCCGAGGGGAGCCATAAAGAGGTGGGGGGTTAGGCAGTGGAGGAGGTTGGACTGAACAGCTTGATGGATCTTTCATGGATGACATTTTAGCACCATGCAAATTACTCTCCGCACACTGCACACCTAACACATCTCTGCTCAGTGCACTGCATGGATGCCTCTTGTTTCCAGGGCAACCTCACCTGGGGTGGAGGGTGGCAAGTAATGGAGGGGTAAGCCTATTTCCTTGACAACTCAGGTCCCTGAAGTGGATGAGCAGCCCACTGGGGCATGAACACAGCCCTCAAGTAGAGAGAGCCAGTGGAGAAGGTGGTGAAAAGGGCATCCGGTGGGGGTAAATTTGTGGGTCAAGGCACCAGGGCTTTCACTGAAAATAACCCTGAGTCAATGGTGCCCTTAGTCTCCCAGTTGCCCTATAGATCCTAGCCATCAGCACAACCAATCTTAGCTGGTCTCAGTCTCTCATTTCTTCTCTCACAAGATATCCGTCAGATAAGATTCACTTGTTTGGAATGTTTCTAAGTCACAATTTTAGACCTTAAGACTACAACATCCACCACTGTCTGCTCTTTTTCTTTTTGGGGGAGGGAGGTGGAGAGGCAATGAAGGACAGGTAGGGAGGGAATCAAGATTCAGAGAACAGAGCTGACGAAAAGTAGCTGAGGCAGAAGACTACGCAGGCAGGTACAAGGATGGGGTTTGGCAACCTAACCCACAAAGGGGAAACCAGATTCCTGCAGTATGTTGACTTCTCCCAGGAAGCTGCAGGAGTTTGGGGCCGAGGGAGGTGTCCTCTGGCCAAGGTCTTTCAGAACAAAGATTCTGTCTTCACCACAGAGAGCGGCCTAGAAAGGGCAGAGGTGACTTGGCAACCCTGGAGAGGAGGCCTTGTCCTTGTGGCTCCTAGTGGGGTGCCAGGGTGATCGGGGTTCACTGTAAGGAGTGGGGCCTGCCGGCCCTGTGGGGCTCCAGGCATGTAAGATAATATTTTAAGTGCTCACTTCTGGCACAGCTCTCTCTGACACCCCCAGCTCTCTGTGACACCGCAGCTATTAAGGATAAGCCCCAATCCCCTGGAGGCAGGTGGGCTCTAAGGTCAATGGCACAGTCCTGTCCCAGAAGTTGAGGGAGGAGCTCCATGAAGGCTCTGGAGCAACAAGGGCTTTGGCTGGCAGGGCGGGAGTGTGTCCATGAATTAATGCCTGAATATCTTACAGTCTAGTCATTTGGAGATAACGGAAGAAGACAGGCAGACCAAAAATTAAACTAACACCCAACAAAGATGATGGTGAAAAGGACACAGCATTGAGGAGGTGCACTGAGTGGGGGAGGGCTGAGCAGGGGGGTTACTCAAAGCTTTTAGGGGACTTTAAGAGGCTTCACGATTCCCAAAGACCCCTGCCCTTCTGACCATTCCTGGATTCTGTGTTCCCTCGCTCAGCCACACCCCTCTAAGAGGTAGCCACGTTCCTGACGGGTTTGCTTCCAAGAGCAGGGACTGCAGGCTTGGAACCGGAGTGGCCCCATTATCAACCTAGGCATTTGAGGCTGGCACCACGCCGAATGAGACGCTTTGCAGAAAGAGGTGTTTGTTCCTTCCTCCCTCTTCCCCTCTGGAAATAAAAGTAGGTTGTGTTTCTCCTGCCCCCATTCCTTGGAGATCTCGGAAACGGGAGCTGCAAGGATTCTTGGATTACCTAGTCCAGTTCTCGGCCCAAGACATCAATGCCTCCGCCTTTTGTCCTGGTTACCGCCCCACGGCGACTGAGGCCAAAACCAGTCACTGGGGCCAAGGGGTCTGGGAGGTGGTTCAGAGGTCAGCGAGTGGAGCCGTGCAGGGAGACACTGGGCCCCGGGGGGCGGTGTCGACTCCTGGGCTCCTTCCCCTGCCAGCAGCGGTGGGGGTGCAGGCAAGGAAGGTGGCGGGAGAGCCACAGGTGCGGCCACAGACCCGCACCAGCCGGGGGTTCCAGGGCCTGGAGGGGGTTCTGCATGGCCACAGTCGGAGCTTTGCGCTGGGGGCAGAGCGCTCTCGCCGCGGGCTCGGGTTACTCGCAGAGAAACTTCTGGGACCAGAAAAGTGCAACCGGGCATAGGAGATCCCGGAGGGAGCAGGGATAGGGGCCTTGCAGGAGCAGGAAGGGAGCTGGGTTCTTCCATGTCGTGCGCGACAATCAAGACTGTTCCCGTGCAGGGTCTCTCCACCCCCCTCCATCCCTTTCTTGTCCTTAACTCGGCCCCAAGGTCCGTGGACCGCGGAGGAGACTGAGAAGCTGAGCCAGTGGGACCCGCACGGGCGACACCATCGTCCCGGCAGTCTTCCCTCCCTCGAAGCCGGGTTCAGCCGCCGCAGGACTCCAGGTCCCTCCCGCTCTCCAGCCGGGAGTCGGCGACGCGCTTACTCCGGCAGACGGCGGGGGAGGCAGAAGTTGAAAATACCTGCCGGTCCCAAAGGGCGGACAACTGCAGGCCCCGGGGCCGGGGCGCGTGGGGGGAGCGAGGGGAGAGCCGGGGGACTCCGCACCGCCAACAGCCCAGTGGCGACCAGCGGCCCCGCGCGCCCCTGTCACGGTGCCCGGGGCGGAGGGGCGCCGGCGGGACTTACCCCAGAGCAGAGTGAGCAGCTTGGCTTTGGGGATGAGCACCAGGGAGTACACGGCCCCCAAGTGGAGCAGGCTCATCAGGACGACGTTCCTCCAGACGATGTCCTGCCGCTGCCCGCGCGCGCCCGGCCTCCGCTGGCCGCCGCCGCCCTCCGAGCCTTCGGCCCCCGCACGGAGCTGCTCCTCGGCGCGGCAGAAGGGGGCCTTCCCCCCGTCGGCGGCCGGGCCCGGCATGGCTGGGGCGAGGTGGGCGCCGGCGGCGGCGGCGGCAGGCAGGCGCTCTGCCCGCGCGGAGCTCTCCGGTGGGGGCGGGGGCTTCTGCCTGTTAGGGGGCTCTCCGCACCTCCGTCCCCGCCTTCCCGGCCCTTCTCCGGTTCCCTCTCTCCTCTGCAGGCGTTCGGCGTGGCCTAAGGATGCAAATCTTGGCGCCCGGCATCTGTCGCTGGCGTATCACCCATGCCCCCGGCCCGGCTGAACTGGGCGCCGAGGAAGCAGAGGCGAGCGGGGGGACGGGGGGCTGGGGGGTGTGCAGAGGAGTGGGGGGAGGGCGCGTGGAGAGGGAGCGGAGACAGCGGCGGGGGAGGGAGCAATCGGAGGGAGCCGCGAAGAAAGACCTGCATAGCTACAGCCAATCAGGATCGCCTGTGGGGCTCTTAAAGAGAAAGGCGCCCCCTTGGCCTCCGCCGCCTGGACTCCCCAGAGCCGGACCCGGGAGCCCGCTGGGCAGGCTGTTGGCGGCCTCCGCCCGGGGGTGGGTGGGATGTGGCTCCCGGGACCCGGAGCCTGCTGAACGGCTCACAGCAATGCTGTTGTTGTTGTGTCTGTTTCTCCAGTTCCAAAAAATACCTTTCCCTTTTGAAAAGACTTTTTTATTTTTTTGAAGCCACAGGCCACCAGTTTTGGAGAATTTAAAATACTTGCCCGGAGTCGCAACACAAGTTAAGGCCAGATCCGAGATGAGAGGCAGAAGTGCCTGCGTCTGCCGGTTCGTGGAGGGATGGTGGCAGCCGCTCTCTTAATTAGGCAGCTGCAGACAGACACACAGTAGGTGCTCAGCTAGTGCCTATTAGATGATACACAAAAGATCTGGGGGCTGCTTGGTAGCCAACACTGCCCTGCCCGTTCCACGGCCCATCAGCATCACAGCTGTTTATGGCAGATTCTCTGCTGACTAGCGTGCTTCTAGACTGTCTCCTTAGTCCTCAGTTGATGGAACAATACCTTCAAGTCAGCACCATTAAGAATGGGCCTTTAGGAAAAAAATCACCCAGAACGTTCCATGAAAAATTAACCTTGAAAACTTCATGTCTGTTCATTCCTTTCCTCCTAATGCAGATAATTGAGAGCTGTCCAGAGAGAGCCCTAATTGCAGAAATTACAGAAATGCAGAGAGCGGTGAGCTGGCCGTGTCCCAAGCAGGTGTGGCTGCACCTGCAGGTGGGGAGCAGAAGAAAAAGGGCTCAGGACGGGCAGTTCTCCTTCTACCTCACTGTGACCCAACTCGGCTCTCTAGGCACAAATTTCCTTATCAGGGAAACAGAACTAATCTTTAGTTTTCCTTCCAGCTTGCAAATTCTATGAATGTGAGTTTGAAAGGATACCATTACATTGACAAATAAAGCTGATTTTTGGAATAACCATTGTTAGGAATCCTTTCCAGGATTCCAGGAGAGGGAAAAAAATTTACAAAGAACTGACTGCATGAAAGGGCTGTACATGAGCATCTTATTGTTAGCAGACAGCAAAGAGTCCAATCAGCTAGATAAAACAATGTCTAATTTAAAACTGACGCAAGATATGTGGCTTGTGGAATGGGGGCCACGGAGCCAGTGTCATGGTGTTGCTTCAGATGGAGATGAAATTATAGAATGAAAGGAAATTTGCCTGGGGAGCAGATAAATGTGTGATGACTAGTGAGACAATACAACATGAAACTTGAGGCTGTACATTTCATCAGCCTGCTCAACCTTGGCTTCATAATGAACCACTTTTTCTTCTCATGCTCCCTCTGCTCCCCACTGCCACCAGACCCACATACTCCCTGTAGCTCTCTATTCAGACTGTCCTTTCTCTCTGGGGTGGGCTAGTTGCTCTGCCAAAAGCCTCCCTTTGTTACTGTAATGACTCACCACACCCTCGCTCTACCATTTAGTCATTTGTTTGGCATTTATTGGGCAGCTGCTATGTGCCAAGACTGGTGGACACTGGGGATACAAGGATGAGTAAGGTATGGTCCCTGCCCTAAAGGAGCTTCCCAAAGGAAGGAAGACAGAGCAAACAAATGTAACCTCTTGGCTATGACCTTGGAAGGGCAGGAAGGTCCAGTTGATTATTAGAAAAAAAAAATTCTTATTAGGCATCAAGCATACATACAAAGAGTCCAGAGGAGGCAGCAAAATAGTTCTTTACTTGGCCCCTGAGTACCTTATCTATTAGATAAGCTATTTATCTAGAATCTATCTTGAATGAACATCTTCCTCTCTTTCCACCAGTGGTTCAGACTGGGTGGGACTAATCATTTCAGCTGGTTGTCCTCATGATGGAGAAGGGGATGTTTGTATGTGTTGCGGGAGGGGGAAAGTGCTCTTTAGGTGTTTGACATCCTGCTTACAAAAGGATGGCTGAAGGAAGACAGCCCCTCCAGGTTAGCCTGAGAGTGAAACCTCTACAGACACAAGGTGTACTCTGGCTAATGATGACTGTCCCCTGTAGCATATTATGCCATCAAGGCTACTTTTCTCCATCTTGCCAAAGACCCTAGTATATTTTCTTAGCTTCTGGTCAAGACCCCAGAGTGGATGAGTGTTCCTTTCACCCCAGGATGGGGGCAAATGGGACAGTAACCCTTATCCTGTCAAACAAATAATTACCAAAAATGTGATAAGAGCCCTAAAAGTGGTATGTGCAAGAAAAAGTGGAGGCACAAAGGAGGGAGTAGTTAGTTCACACCAGAGGGGAGGAAGGGGGATGATATCTGGGTAAGGATTTCTTTTTTGGAACTTGATTTTTTTTAAATGTTTAATTGTGGCAAAATACACATAACATAAACTTTACCATCGTAACCATCTTTAAGTGTTCTGTTCAGTAGTGTTAAATATATTCACATTGTTGTGTAACCCATCTCCAGAACTTATTCATCTTGCAGAACTGGAACTCTACACATTAAACAACAATTCCTCATTTCTCTCTCTCTCTCTCTCTGCCCCCTGTAACCACCTGCAGCCACCATTGTGCTTTGTGTTGCTATGAGTTTGACCACTCTAGATACCTCATATAAGTGAAATCACACAGCTTTTGTCTTTTTATGACTGGTTTACTTCACTTAATACAATGTCTTCAAGGTTCATCTATGTTGTAGCATGTCAGAATTTCCTTCCTTTTTAAGGCCAAATAATATTCCATTGTATGTATATACCACATTTTGCTTATCCATTTATCTGCTGATGGACACTTGGGTTGCTTCCACCTTTTGGCTCTTGTGAATAATGCTGCTATGGACATGGGTGTACAACTATCTCTTGGAGACCCTGCTTTCAATTCTTTTGGATATATACCCAGAAGTAGTATTGCTGGATTTTATAGTAATTCTGTTTTTAATTTTTTGTGGGACTTCCATACCATTTCCCATTGCAGCTACACCATTTTACATTCCCACCAACCATGCACAAGGCTTCCAATTTCTCTACGTCCTCACTAACACATGTTATTTTCTGGGTTTTTTTAGATTACGGCCATCCTAATGGGTGTGAGGTAATAGCTTGTTGTGGTTTTGATTTGCATTTCCCTAATGATTAGTGGTGTTGACCATCTTTTCATGTGTTTTTTGGCCATTTGTATGTCATCTTTTGAGAAATGTCTATTCTAGTCTTTGCCCATTTTTTAATTGGATTGCTTGGTTTTTTTGTTGTTGAGCTATAGGAGTTCTTTATATACTCTTGATATTAACCCCTTATTAGATAAATGATTTGCAAATATTTTCTCCCATTCCATAGGTTGCCTTTTCAGTGTTGATTGTGCTCTTTGATGCATAGAAGTTTTTAATTTTGATGTAGTCCAGTTTATCTATTTTTACTTTTGTTGCCTGTGCTTTTGGTGTCATATCCAAGAAATCATCACCAACTCCAATGTCATGAAGCTTTTCCTTTATGTTTTCTCTGAGAGTTTTATAGTTTTAGCTCTTACGTTTAAGTCTTTGATCCATTTTGAGTTAATATTTGTATATGGTGTAAGGTAAGGGTCCAACTTCACTTTTTGCATGTGGATATCCAGTTTTCCAAACACCATTTGTTGAAAAGACTCTCCTTTCCCCATTGAATGGTCTTGGCACCCTTGTTGAAGATCATTTGACCATATACTCAAGGGTTTATTTGTGGATTTACTATTCTATTCCATTGGTCTACATGTCTGTCTTTATCCCAGTACCACTTTGTTTTGATTACTGTAGTTTTCTTTTTTTTTTTTTATAAATCTACACTGTTTATTTATTTATTTATTTGTTTATTTATTTTTTCCCCCAAAGCCCCAGTAGATAGTTGTATGTCATAGCTGCACATCCTTCCAGTCGCTGTATGTGGGACGCGGCCCCAGCATGGCCGGAGAAGCGGTGCATCGGCGCGCGCCAGGGATCCGAACCCGGGACGCCAGCAGCGGAGTGCGTGCACTTAACCGCTGAGCCACGGGGCCGGCCCAGATTACTGTAGTTTTCTAATAAGTTTTTTTTGTGTGTGTGTGTGTGTGTGTGTGTGTGTGAGGCAGATCGGCCCTGAGGTAACATCTGCCAATCCTCCTCTTTTTTGCTAAGGGAGACTGGCCCTGGGCTAACATCCATGCCCATCTTCCTCCACTTTATATGGGATGCCGCCACAGCATGGCTTGCCAAGCAGTGCATCGGTGCATGCCTGGGATCCAAACCCGTGAACCCCGGGCCACCACAGCAGAGCACGTGCACTTAACCACTTGCGCCACCGGGCTGGCCCTAATAAGTTTTGAAATCAAGAAGTATGAGAACTCCAACTTTGTTCTTCTTTTTTAAAGATTGTTTTGGCCATTTGAGATCCATTGAGATTCCCTATGAATTTTAGGATAGATTTTTCTATTTCTGCAAAAATGCTAAGATTTTGATAGATTGCATTAAATCTGGAGATCACTTTGGTAGTATTGACATCTTAACAATATTAAGTCTGTAATCCATGAACATGAGATATCTTTCCATTTATTTGTGTCTTCTTTAATTTCTCTTAAGAACATTTTGTAGTTTTCAATGTACAAGTCTTTTGCCTCTTCAGTTAAGTTTACCAAGTAAGGATTTTGAAGGCATGCTATCTAATAAAAATATAATGCATGCCACAAATTCAAGTCTCATGTATAAATTTAAATTTTCCACTGGCCACATTTAAAAAGTAGAAAGAAACAATAAATTTTAATAATATATTTTACTTAACCCAATATATTCAAAATGTTATCTTTTCCGTGTGTAATCATTATAAAATTATTGAGAATTTTACACTTTT